GCTCGATCCCCAGTAGGGGGAGTGTGGGAGGCAACCAATAAATGATTCTCTCATCATTGATGTTTCTCTCTCTCCCTTCCTCTCTGAAATCAACAAAAATATATTAAGAGAAGATGGTAAGGAATGAAATAATCCTTACATCTTCCCTTCCCTTTATATTAAATGTAAACCAGTATAAAAGGTAAGATATGACAATACCACACATATAACACATGTAAAATGGTGCCCATGGCATTACCAAATAATAGTATAAGAAGACAGTATCAATTCAAAAAGGTAATTATTACTTCTAAGAATTGGCGAATCTCACAACTCTGACTGTATCTCCTAGCCTTCTAGGTTTCAGGTATGCGGGACTGTTGCTGTTTGGTCTTTTAGTATTCATCTGACTGCAAAATGATCTCCCTTAATTCATTGATAAAGGAAACTTGAAAGAGTAGGCTCCAGCTACTCAGGGTGGGGAAATATCTGGGGCAGTCTAGGGAATAAGCAATCCAGCCACTCTGGTAAATCCATCTGCCAACCCATAAAAAAAGCATAACATCATTAAGTACCTCCTAACACTTGCACCAAAACTGAAAAATATACATCTATTCAAAGACTGTTGCTTGTGAAAATGTAGCTAGAACACAAATTCATAGGCTATAACCAAAACATTAAATTAAGGCGCTACCTCCAGACTACAACCTGACAAACCTTATTATAAGATAAACTAGTTCAAAAGTTCCCTCCCACGCTAAGCTCTCCATACCTAATTATTGCATTATTCTGAATGGTCAGACAGGGGCAAAAATAAACTCTCATAAAACAACTGTTGCCGAGGCCGGTTTGGCTCAGTGGATAGAGCGTCGGCCTGCGGACTGAGAGGTCCCAGGTTCGATTCCGGTCAGGGGCATGTATCTGGGTTGCGGGCACATCCCCAGTGGGGATGTGCAGGAGGCGGCTGGTCGATGCTTCTCTCTCATCGATGTTTCTAACTCTCTCTGTCTCTCTCCCTTCCTCTCTGTGAAAAATCAATAAAATATATTTAAAAACAAAAAACAAAAAAACAACTGTTACAGTATGACTCTCTGTTATTCATTAATATACTTTATTTCACATTTCCACCTAACACAAGAGTTACTTCATTTATGTACCACACCTAGGAAGCACATAGAGAAATTAAGAAAAAGGGCACCATGGTAAATTGATGGTAAGCTGAAATATAATTTCTGAATGAATATTAGATTTCTAATAACCAATAAGAGATACATTTTTCCAACTGAATCCCAAAATTGTGTCACCTGCAATATCTGGAAGCTTAAATCTCTCTTTTTCCTTCTTTTCTTTTGTACAACTGTAACTTTGCAACAGATGGTAGAAAGGGGGGATTATGGCACTTTTATAATATTCTAAATAGAACAACAAGAAATAAAAGAAATAAGGGAAGGGGTGGGGGAGGCAGGTGAGGGCAAAGGGGGGGATAAATGGTGATGAAAAGAGACATGACTTGTGGTGGTGAACACACAATATACAGATGATGTATTATAGAACTGTACACCTTAAACCTATATAATTTTATTAACCAATGTAACCTCAAAAAATTCATTTAAAAAAGGAAGAAAAAAAAAGAAATAAACAAGCCCTGACCAGATAACTCAGTTGGTCAGTTGGTTGCAGCACTGTCCTGATACAACCAAGGTGTGGGTTTGATCCTGATCAGGGCACATATGAGAATCAGCCAATGAATGCTAAGTGGGACAGAAGATCAATTTCTCTCTCTCTCTCTCTCTCTCTCTCTCAAAACCAATCAATACTTTTTTTTTAAAGAAAGAAAAGAGAAAAAGGGGAAAACTCAAAGAAGTAGCTAATAGATATTTTTTTCTCTATTTGGCTTTTGTTTCTCCTTAAGAGCATCCTGTTGCCCGCCCACCCTTGTACCCTTGGCAACCCTGAATGATTAAAAACAGTTTGGAGAGAAATAAAAATATCTTAACAAATTACAGCTGTTAAATCCAGGAGGCATTTCTCTTCTAGTCACCCCTCTTCTTCAAATAAACATACCTCTAAATGGGGGCAGGAAGAAGAGACAGAAAACAAACTGCTTCACCTCCCAAGAGTTACTACTTCCACTAGGAACATGGTCACTACCACTGGAACAGAAAAGCTCTCTTTCACATATTGCCACAACACAAATTTTTTTTTTTTAAAGACAGCAAGGAAAAAAGTGTGTGTATGTATGTGTGTGTCAAAAGGATCTTTTTCTTGCCCTAATAAGCCTTCCTCTTTTCCTTGTCCATCAGCCCAAGTAAGCAGAGATGACGCAGACTTCCTTATATAATAGCCTGTGATTTCCTAGACTGCAGGCCTTTCCCTTTGTGTTCTGTATACACATACACACAGGAGTGCACATATTCTCATTGCTTTGCAGCCACTGGCATGATGCCAGCACTCAGTCAGCTGGTTGATTCCATTCACAGAGCAGGGTTGGAGCTGACATGGAAAAGGGAGGGGGTGGGTAGTGAGGGTAAGGGGGAACTAGAACCATCATTGCTACAGACAAAAGAAAAATATTTTTTTAAAAAGAAAACCTTAGCATAATAGTCCTCTTACAGCTTTAGCTCAAAGAAAACTAGAAGCCAGAGACCATTATAGTAAAAGGATGAAGCACGAGGGTTGAGGATCCAAACCGAAAGCTTTTTATGAGAAACAATTACTCCTCAACAAATTTTAAAAAGCAAAAGTATGTATTACTTCACTCTCATCAGAAACCTCGGCATATCATCTCTACACATAGGAAAAGGCTGTGAGAAATTCAGAACAATTTTGAGTTTCTGCTTTTAGAAAAAGAAGGGGGGGGCAAGACAGTTAAAAGTACTTACAGGTATACATTTTTCTGCTCCCTCCTCTAGCTGCCAGGAAAGCTGGAGACAAGAAAAGGGGGGATACAGAAAAAGGAGGAAAAGAGGAATAAGAGATGGGATTGGGTTTTGGTTTTGGTGTTTTTTAGAGGGGGTAGAGAGGGAAGGTTCCCTTTTTATTTTCTATCATACGGCACAGAGTGGCCCCATACGTGCCAGCCCCCTCGAGAGACCTGCACAAACCCAGTCTCTCCAAGCGGGCACTGCCCTGCCAATCACATGGCGTACTGTTATATTAAACAAAAGAAACAAGGGGATGCTTACTTTTACCCATGATGCCTAGCGGGGGCAGGGGAGGGGGGGGAGAAAAACCAGTTGTAGCCGGTTTATAACCTCAGGACATAGAATTATCTCTTAATTTTTTAAAGTCATTTGTGATACAAAAAAAAAAAAAATCAGTCTCTCCACCCTAACTCCCCCTCCCTTCCGCCCCCAATTATTCTGGCCTAGTGCCAAACTTTGCCTTCATTCGTGAGAGCTAGTTTCCTCTCAAATCATGATGCTTTAACTGTTTAGTTTCCAAAGCCAACATCCAAGACAGGAAATGACTGCATCAATACCAAAACATACCTCAAATAATAATTTAAAAAAAGACATATTGCCAACCAAGCTCCCTTTCTTTATCCTTTATTGCTAGTGCTAGAGAACAGACACCAGGTATGATAGTAGATGTGTTCATTAAAGATTTTTTCCTGTAGTTGTCCCACACACAGCTTAGGGCAGTTGAATCCATATCTAATACAAATTATAGCAAGCTTTCACAGCAAAGTAGTCATGACAGTATATGCACACTATAGCCCTAACTGGTTTGGCTCAGTGGATAGAGCGTCGGCCTGTGGACTGAAGGGTCCCAGGTTCGATTCTGGTCAAGGGCATATACCTTGGTTGCAGGTACATCCCCAGTAGGGAGTGTGCAGGAGGCAGCTGAATTGATGTTTCTCTCTCATCAATGTTTCTAACTCTCTATCCCTCTCCCTTCCTCTCTATAAAAAAATCAATAAAATATATATTTTTTTAAAATGGCGTAGGTCCTTCTTATGTATGTATTTACAGCAACTTAAAAAATAATAATAAATTTTAAATGGCTTAGGCCCAGCCATGATATGGTTACAAAATTATTTTATTTTTGTGTCCTATCTAGAACCTCTTTCCTCTTCATATTCCTTACCCATTGTAATCATTTACCACACATATCCTTACTAGAGGCCCAGTGCATGGATTTGTGCATGGGTGGGGTCCCTCAGCATGGCCTGTGCCCTCTCATAATCCCGGACCCCTCGGGGGGATGTCGGACTGCAGGGTTTCGGCCCAATCTCTGCAGGCCAGGTTGATGGGCCAAAACCCAGCAGTCTGATATCCCCCTAAGGGATGTAGCGGTGCCAAAGCGGCAGGCATCCAGGGAGGAGCCCCAGCCGGGGCTGGGCGCATCTCTGCTGCCACTCATCCTGGCCCTGTTGAGCCTCCTCTGCCGCCTGGTAGCGCTGCCATGGAGGTGGGAGAGGCTCCCGCTGCGGCAGCTGCGCACCAGCCCTGAGCCGGATTCTGGCTAAGTGGCGCTCCCACTGTGGGAGCACACTGACCACCAGGCAGCAGCTCCTGTGTTGAGCATCTGCCCCCTGGTGGTCAGTGCATTTCATAGAAACCAGTCAACTGGCCGTTCCGGTCGTTAGGTCGCAACCGTCGCTTAGGGTTTTATATATATAGATGTCATTCTATAGACAGATCAAGATTGTAGACATATCTGAGCCTAGCCTCCTGATCAACCTTCCTTTTCCTGTTTTAGAGCAACTGTCTCCAATCACTTTATAAGACATTTTCCTTTCCCAAAAGTATTTAGGAGGGGTCTGAAACTGGTGAGGAAGAAATTCAAGCAAACCAAAGAGCTAAGGCAGTGGTAATTGTTTGGGGATTTACTGGCTGGAGACTTTAACTCTACAATCTTTGTCTGTTTGAGGGAATATGTTCTATATAAATAGTAACAAGGAATAACTAGGGGGCAGGGGAGATTTCCTTACTTTTCAATTGATCTCTCTTATCAACATACCACCCAAATGACTGCCTCATTTGGGCCTCTGAAAGTCAAATCACAACTGTACTTACTCCATCAGGATCTCTCAAACACTTGCTTTTTCCAAAAACTAAAGCTTCTAGAATCTATAGAATATAGAGAAAAAAAAATCAACATCCTATCCAAAAATATTAATTTGTAAATAAAAGCTTTCCTGAGCAATTTAATACTAACTTCAATTTTCAGAAAATGAATACTGACCTAAATCTGAAATAGACAGCATTGGCCACTTGCATAAGGCATTCAATAATTTACAAACTACAACGGAAAACGCTACATCTATACCAAGGTAAGCTGCAAGTTGTTGATGTACTGCCTCAGTCACAGTAAGTGGTACTTAATAGGAGCCCATTAGAGATCTTTAGATCTAGGTACTGTTATCATTTTAGGAGATAAATGGGGGGAAAATGATGCCTGTAACATATGGGGGGCAAAGAAAATAATCCATTTTCCTCTTACTCAAAACATTTCCACAAGAGACCAACTATGAATTTTAAAATGAAGCTCACTAGTTCTATGTTTGATCAGGGGAGGGAAGAGTGTTTCTCTTTTAACTAGAGGCTCAATGCATGAAATTCGTGCAAGAGTAGGCCTTCCTTCCCCCGGCTGCTGACACCGGCTTCCCTCTGGCACCCGGGACCTGGGCATCCCTCGCAGCCCTGGCTTCTTCTGGAAGGTCGTCTGGGAGGACGTCGGTCTAATTAGCATATTGTGCTTTTATTATTATAGATAATCATTCACAGATCATGCCCATTTAACTCCACTGAATACATTTGACCGCATTTAAACACTGGTCAATTTTTATCAGTCTTTAAGATAATATAAAAGGTTTAAATACAATTATGCTGTCACTAGTGATTACCATTAGGCATGAATTAATTCTCAAATAATTACATAGGATAAAGCATACACTATGTTTACTACAATAGAGTAAACTCTCAATTTCATGCACCTCAATTTAACGAACTTAGGATTTAACAGACAAAATACCAGCCTGTATGTCAAATTAACACTTAATTTTTTAAAATGCTTTTAACTAAGATTTGCTTATAATTAAATTAACAGCTTATTTTTTGTTATCAATTCACTGTTATTAACAAATTTTAGTGAATAGGCCAAATGTTGGAAAAAACATTGTAGTAATTTCACCGACATAAATATTACCTATCTACAACTATAGTCTACATATTTAAATTCAAGAGTCACCACTCGTAAACAATGTTCTGTGAATGATTAGCACGTGATCACACTGCATCTCAATCGATAATTGGTTCTGTTGTCCCACGGTGTGACTTTCTGCAGCAGTTTTTTTTAAAAATATTTTTTTATGATTTCAGAGAGGAAGGGAGATATAGAAGCAGCAATGATGAGAATCATTTATCGGCTGCCTCCTGCATGCCCTCTACTGGGGATGGAGCCCACAACACAGGCACGTGCCCTGTTTGGGAATCAAATTATGACTTCCTGGTTTATGGGTCAACACTCAACCACTGAGCCATGCTAGCCAGGCTCTGCAGCAGTTTTGTGTTTTAATTGATTTCAGAGAGGAAGGGAGAGGGAGAGAGAGACAGAAACATCAATGATGAGAATCATTGATCGGCTGCCTCCTGCACGCCCCCTACTGGGCATTGAGCCTGCAGCATAGGCATATGCCCTTGACCGGAATCAAACCCAGGCATGCAATAGTTTTAGCACATGCCATGGCCAGCCAATCTTCCCACATGTGCTAAGCCACGCCCCAACCATGTGCATTTGTTTACTGGCAGTGACTGGTGAATGCACCCATTTACTAGACCTATTCAGTATAAATTTAAAAATTACTGTAATACATATAGTAAACTTTTCTTGTGAAATTAGACTTTTCATACAGACTTAATTTTCATCACATAAACGTGTCTACATAAGTATAAACAGGTAAACTAACTTGTCAACTTTTTACCATACATATTTGGAAAACCTACTTCATTATAAAACGGACTTTCGGCTTTAACGGACACCCCCCTTACCCGAATCAGTCCATTATATTGAAGTTTTACTGTATCTGCTTCTGATATTAAATTGATTAGTAGTCCAAAGGTACCAGAGATGCTCTCAAACCAACTGGCACTTCTCTTCAGAATCCTGGAAAATTAAGAACTCTATGGTAGCCAGCAACCTTGTTCTTTTCAGCTAAATCCAAATCACCCAAAATCAAAGGTGCTTAATTGTGTGAACTGAAAAGTGTAAACTTAAACATATTTCTCGGTAAATGTTACCCAAGGTGTAATGCTCTGAAGAATATAAAATTCTTTAAGGAAAAGAAAAAACCTAACATATCCTTAGCATTTAATGCACTAAATATTTATTTAATCCACACAACAAACCAGGAAGGCAGGATTCTTTTCCTGTTTTATATTATGGATATTAACTTGGTGAAATTAAGAAATTTGAATGAAGTCACTCATTCAGTTAACAATAATAGAGGCTGACTGAAAAGGCCATACTCGTTCCACTACATCATGATGATTTGAGCATTTCTTGTCAAAAACTCAAGAGCCCAGTTCACTAGGCTTGCCCTGCCAATCTCCACTTCAAACCTTTGGGTTAAAGAAAATATAAGCCAAATACAACTGAAGTCACAAATACAAACTCTTTGCCTTGGCCAGTGTGGCTCAGTTGGTTGGTCCCATGCACTGAGAGGTTGCTGGTTCCATTCCCAGTTGGGGCACATGCCCAGGTTGCTCGTGGTTTGTTGCCAGCTCAAGAGGCAGCTGATCATTTATTGCCATAATCACTTCAATAGGCCCTAATTATTAGAACAAGGTTTCTAAACCTCAGTTCTAGCAATTAACACTTTGGGCCAGATAATTCTTTGTTACGGGAAGCTGTCCTATGCAATGTAGAATGCTTAGCAGCACCTCTGGCTTCTTATACACTAGATGCCAGTAGCACCACATCCGCCCAGTTTTGAATACCAAAAATGTCCCTATACACAGCCAAATGTCCTCTGGGGGTCAAATCCTCCCAGATGAGAATCAATATTAAACAACAACAACAACGTGATTTTACTAACAAGAAGGTCGGTGGTTATTATCACCAACAATTTCAACCCTAGAACACAAATACTACCAGAGGAAATGAGAATAGTGGTTACCTTTGGAGGTGAGGAAGGATAATGACTAGGAGGGAGCATGAAAAAACCTTCTGGGTGGAGGTATCTTCTATATTAGCGGTCGCCAACTGGTGGTCTGCGGACCATTGGTGGTCTGTGAGGTCCGAAGGTTGGCGACCACGGTTCTATATCACTATCTAGGTCCCTTATAACACTTTCTTCTGTATGCATGTTATACCTCAGTAAAAAAAATAAGTTTACCCAACAATACAACAGCCTTGCCAATGTGGCTCAGTTGGCTGAACGTCCTCCGATGCACTAGGAGGTTGCCTGTTCTATTCTCTAGGTCAAGGCACATGCTCAGGTTGCAGGCTTAATCCCCAGTAGGGGACATGTAGAAAGCAGCTGACTGATGTTTCTCTCTCATCAATATTGCGCTCTCTCTCTCTCTCTCTCTCTCCCCCTTTCCCTTCCTCTCTCTGAAATCAATAAAACACATTTTTTAAAAATACAAAACAGCCGTAACCGGTTTGGCTCAGTGGGTAGAGCGTCGGCCTGCGGACTGAAAGGACCCAGGTTCGATTCCGGTCAAGGGCATGTACCTTGGTTGCGGGCACATCCCCAGTAGGGGGTGTGCAGGAGGCAGCTGATCCATGTTTCTCTCTCATCAATGTTTCTAACTCTCTATCCCTCTCCCTTCCTCTGTAAAAAATCAATAAAATATATTATTAAAAAAATCTGAATAACAATCTTACCCTTGTCTGCTGTGCTTTCCCTGGTAATCTCCCATAACTTCTTAAAAAAAAAAATACAAAACAAAAATTGATAAGGAAGAGATGGTACTCCTTGCCTCGACGCTGCTAGAATTACAGAACTCAGACATCTGAAGGGCAGGGAGACAAATCCCTAAATATTTCTGAATAACACAATGATTTACCCTTGAATTCAAGATACTTGACAGTATTCAGGTGCTTCCTTTAGCCATCCAGCTCCAATTTCCCATTCCTTTTTACCTATAAAGCTTTCTAAAATTGATAATCATATCTGAGGTCAGGGTCGATGTATCCTGTTCAATGAGACTTTTATACCTTGACTTTGGAAGCTTAAAAAGGCTCTTCAAAAACCCCTCCAATAGCCCTAGCTAGTTTGGCTCACTGGATAGTCAGCCTGCAGACTGAAGGGTCCCTGGTTCGATTCTGGTCAAGGGTACATGCCTGGGCTGCAGGCTCTATCCCCAGTAGGGGGCATGTAGGAGGCAGCCAATCAATGATTCTCTCTCATCATTGATATTTCTCTTTCTCCCTCTCCCCCTTCCTCTCTGAAATCAATAAAAATATATATAAAAAATACTCAAAACTCTTACCTCTTAAAAAAAAAAGTTAAGAGACAACCTCCTTTAAAAAAAACACCTCTAAGACATCCCTAGCCAATCTTGCTCAATGGTTAGAGCGTGGGCCCATGGTCTGAAGGGTCATGGTTTCGATTCTGGTCAAGGGTACCTTGTTTGCAGGCTCCATCTCCACCCAGGTCAGGGCACCTGTAGAAGGCAACCAATCAATGTGTCTCTCTCAGATCAATATTTCTCTCTATGTCTCTCCCCCTCTCTTCTATTCTCTCTAAAAATCAATGGAAAAATACCCTCGGGTGAGAATTAACAAAAATAAAATAGAACTGAATTTTCTACTCCAACAAATAGGGCAGGCAGATAAAGGGAATAATCTGAAAAAAATAAAAAGTAGGAGGGACCATAAAACAGAATGGCTTGTGGACTTTAAGAGTGGGTAGGAAAATTTTCAGACCAAGAAAGCAATTCCCAATATTACTAGAAATATTAGCCATAGAAGAATTTAGAAGATATTCCTGTATTCTATTTTTACATCCATAAATTTCTTAGAGAAAAAATGTCATTAGACTAGATATTTTATGTTTCATTGCTTTTTATATCTAGGGCAACTTAATTAAGACACCTTTTAAAAAACATGTTTTATTGATTTTTTTATTAGAGATAGAGGAAGGGATAGAAACATCAATTAAGCAAGCAACCTGTGCATGTGTCCTCAACCACTGAGCCACACAAACTGGGCTAAGATACCTTTTCAAAGGGTCTTTTAAAAAGAGAAGCTGGCTAAGCAAGCACTTCCAGTTAATTAAAAAATACTGTGGCTATGGCTTTGAGAACGAAATCAATATATCTTAGAACACTTTATAAGATAAAGAGCACTCAAATCATCTGATTTTGCCTCTTCTATTTCTTCTAATATGATGAGAACAGAATAATCTTATGCAACCTGGGGAGAATGTGAATAAGAGAGAGCTACCTCAAATAGGATTACTTGACTTTTTGGTGCCAAGAGCCTCAGACTACCCAATGGAGTGCAAGGAAAAGATTAGTGCTTCTCAAGGAAATACTTAAGTCACTATTTTCCTACAAATAATTAAAATTATACCATGTTGCTCTGAAGTTGAAGCACTTGCTTAAGAAAAATTTCTTCTATGGAAACCCAGCATTATGTCTTTAAAACATGCCCATTATATTGCCCTGCTGGTGCGGCTCAGTGGTTGAGCATCAACCTATGAACCAGGAGGTCACAGTGGATTCCTGGTCTGGGCACTTGCCCAGGTTGTGGGCTCGATCCCCAGTATGGGGTGTGCAGGAAATAGCCGATCAATGATTCTCTCTCATCACTGATGTTTTTATTTCTCCCTCTCCCTTTCTCTCTGAAATCAATAAAAATACATTTTTAAAAAATTCTTTTCAAGTGGCCCTAACCTAATTTTATCCAAAAAATGAAGAATGTGAAGGGGAAAAAAGCCAACAATTTAAGTAGAAATCCTTTCCCCTTCATTAAGGCTTATTTAAAAGATACTTCTTTTTTTGTAAGTCCTCACCCGAGGTTATTTCTTCCATTCATTTTTAGTGAGAGTGGGAGGGAGGGAAGGAAGGAGAGAGGAAGAGAGAGAAACATCCATGCGTGAGAGACACATCAACTGGCCGCCTATCGCACTTGCCCCTACCAGGGCTGGGGATGGAAGCTGCAACCCATGTATGCGCTTTTGACTGGGAATCAAACCCGAGACCCTTCCGTGTGGGGGCCAACGCTCTAACCACTAAGCCACGCCAGGGCTAAAGATACTTCTTAAGCCAAGTGATAAAGGAAAATTCCAGAATTAACTTTCACCCCAAATATCAGAATCATAAGCTATCAACATTTTAAAATTAGAATCGCAGTTGCTTTCACAGGTTTAAACTATAAACAGGTTAGTAGTGATGATAAGACAACTGAAGTTTCCAGTTTCTTTTCCTCTTCATTTCCAAAAACCAAATTCAAGCAATAAGGAATATAAAGATCAGCAGTGGATCTAAATCTTTTAATCAACCAACAGAAGGAAATATCCTAGTAATCCAAAACTTAAAAGAAGTGATATTAACACGTCCAGAAGACAAGCTTTGCTTGCTGTTGGAAGTAAAATGACATAAGCAAGACAACAATAAATTAATGAAACAGTCTCAATGCTCTTTTAATCTCTAAGAAGATGGTAACTTTGAACACATCTCATGCCCTTGAATTAGTCAATTTCCTGTGAATCCTTAAGAATGTTTATGAAAACTAAGTCTGTTTCATTTTACTCCTGACAATAGGCCCCAAATATGGGATAAAAGAATATATGTGGGGGGATAAGGACACATATGTAATACCTTAATCAATAAAGAAAAAATAATAAAAT